GTTTGATTGTACGATGGGAATACCCAAGTATTGAAAGACGGGATGCTTCATTTTCCTGAAGCTATGGAACACCCCTTCAAATGCGCGTATTGCATCAGAGCCGACAGATAGCTCTCTCCCACAGAAATCAGTCAGACGAGAGCAGATCTTCCAGGGACTATACTCTTCGTAGTCGTTCTGATTGTCGAAAATTCCTCTTCGCTTGTCGCTGAGGCCTTTGATTATCTCGAAAGCAAGACCAGCTCGACACTCATAGTAGACTTGTTGCTCTGTAAAAACGATACGTCGGGTGGAGAAAAAGCTCTCTTGATACGTCCATGCTCGATGCCACCATCTAGAAGCCTTGATAAGCGTCTGCAGGTCTGGAAGAGTGGATACAAGGCATTGTCCTCCAACCCAGGCACTTGGTTGGGGAGTTCTCGGGGTAGCGCCAACGCCAGGTAAGCCGAAATATGGATCAGTGCCTGCTGCAGCGACTATAGTCACGAACGCATTTTGATATATGAGGTCCATTTGCTGTATCTGGATTTGTTTCTCAACATCGTTGTCTTGGTCGATGCAGTATCTGTCGATCCAAATATATCGAAGACCTAGCAGTTTGCTGGCCTTCAAGGCATCTTCGATAGTGCGTGGCAGGGTCGTGGGAAGTTCGTTATGGACACACCGATCATCGCCAGATCTGCTAGTACCCCACACATAGCTGAGTGCAGAATAATCGTACGTTGGCAATGCTGGCACGATTCGTCGCTGTTCGCAGTCGATCAACTTCAGCTCTTTCGGACTCAAAGCTGATGATTCTACTTGAGTGCACTGCCTCCAGCCTGTGTGCTCTCGACCACAACGCTGTATCCAACCTCGAATAATGTCGAAGTCGATCGAGATTGCATCGATAGATTGCGCTCGCAGTGAATTCACGTGAGGAGCTGTTCTTGACGCGCTTGAACATGCAATGAAGCCGCAAGACGCTCCTTCCTCTTGCGTTGACATTATCAAAGCAAACTCATACTTGGGACCGAGTTCAAACTTGTCTCGGGCCACAGCTAGAACTGTTCCATCCTTAGTGTGGTAGGGATTAGGAGGAAATATACAGTATAGAGCGTAGTTCTTGATGAGAGCGTGGTTCTTGATTAGAGGGCTGCCTTGTATCCTCACCGCATGGAAAAGGCGACATAGTGAGCATGACGACAGCTCAGCTTCTACCCCGAGTTCTCCGAGAGTCATCATTTGCTTCATGTATTGTGTCTCCAGATCGACGAAAAGGCTCTCGACATCAATGGACGAACATCTGGAACAAAGGCTACTCGATTCTTGACGCACTGTTTCGTCACGTGTGTTGGATGTGTCTCCATGGCTCTGATAGTTGGTAGCCGATAGGTCCACAGATTGTTTTCGCTTCCCTGAAGGATCCTCGGATGCACTTGGAACTTGTGCTCGCTCCATGTCGTGATAGGGCCTTTGGAGGACGATTGGGATGGAAGATGGACGGAAGGTGGCACCTGTCTCGTTAACTTCACGGCGCTGGAGTTAAGACACACGGAAACTGTGGAATAGACTTACTTGTTATTCATTCCCTTGCCTGGTCCGCTATTGCCAGTGATGAGACGTGGATGGTGAGAGGTGCGGGGCAGAAGTGCTCTCAAGGCTGCTGCATGCTGGACACCTGCGCCTACCAGCTGGTAAGCGAACTTTAGGTAACCACATGCACGCTGCAGTATCTTGCTTTTGCAACTGCTGTGATTTTTACTTCTACTTCTACAACTACTCTTACAACTATTTCTACACCTCATAATCTTACAATGAGCTGTCTTTACATCAAATCCACTATAACAATCAGCTCACCAAACACTGTGACATAGATAACCTGGTTTTGCAAAGTCGCACTTGCTAGATGAGTCGCTTTATTTGAACGATAAGTTTGCGATGCTGTCGTGACGATGTCATGAATATGAGGCGGCACCAGCTGTCATACATGAGACTCTTTCACGACGGCGTGTGACAAGACGGGCATGCGATACAAGGCCATCAAGTCCAATGCTCGTCAAGACGACGGCAACATTGCGGTGTGTCGATGCAAACTCTAGATGGTCAGGCAGCAACGTCGAAACATCGAAACATCGGCGACGATGACGTACGTATCCGGATTGGACGGTGAGGCTCTGTCATAACAAGGTATAACAAGGATGAACGCTGGACTCCTGATATGACAACCGAAGAAAACCGAAAACTAAAAAGACACGATGAGCGGTGTGGGTGGTTGGTAGAAGGCGGTGACAAAACATTAGGCATACAGGCAAATAGGAACAGGGATATCTCGGCTTCGAATTTTGATCTATTCTAGTCGATAGCCGCGCCTTACAAACAAGGTCGCCGAGGGGATCTTTGGGGATCTTAGGGGAAATTTTGAACTATCCTAGGTGTTGTGGGCGAGATGCGATGGAAGGGGTTGTTGGGGTTGATTGAGTTGTGAAACTAAATGGGCTGAGCGGGATGGGGGGCTGTTGTGGAACGCTAAAAATGCCGGTACTAAGGTGTTTATCTTTCCTTGTAGACAGTGACACGGGAACGAAGAGGAAGGAGATGGGCTATATAGTAATAACATAAGACATTCGGCATCATCGTGTCGCATTATCATGAGAAAGGGATTTGACGGACCAAAAGCAAAGACAAATTTGTTGGAATCAGGGAAGAGGAAAAGGAACGCTAGAATCATAACAAACAAACAAACAAACTTTGCGTTTCCCAACTATTGGGGTTGCGCTGCTCCGTCTTTTACCATTCGCTTCCGAAAGGCTTTGGCCTTGCTCGCTTGGTTTTTGCTCGCTTGTGCATCCAGATGACTTGCGGCGGTGAAGGCTTCGACGACGGCCATGGCGTTGGCCTCTTCTTCCTCGTTGAATGTGATGAGGTCGAGGAATTGGCGGAGGACAATGGAGCCGAGCTTGGCGTGGGCTTGCTCGACGTAGTCGGTGTTGACGGTGTCTGCTGATGTGCGCGCGAGGACGCTCCAGCCATCGGGCTTGAGGGAGGCTTGTCGGGCTAGGAGTCGTTCGCTGGAGGCTAGCAGGATGAAGGCGCGTATTACTGCTTCTTTGTTTGTGATGTTGTTCTCGGGCGATACGTCGAGAACCTCGAGGAAGTCGTCGAGGGATGCGGTGCCTATGAATGTGTGGCGGTGCTTGTACTCCAAATCCCGCTCTTGTTGGATAGCCGAGGTCGGCCCGGTCTTCTTTGGCAGCTTCTTGGGGGTGGATGGGTGGAGGGAGCGGGTGGTCGGGCTGTGGTGGCGGGGGTTCTGGTCCTGCGCGTTGGCGGCTTTGATGGGGAGGCCGAGGGAGATGCGGCGTTGGGGGTGTTGGGGGGCGCTGCGGCTTGGAGGTGTTGGCCTGGAGTTGGAGGAGGCCCTCGTTGGTCTTGGCTCGGAGAGGTAATGATCTAGATGCCCGCTGCGCACTGGCGAGACGTGATTCGATGGTGGGTGTGGAGGGTGTGCGGAGGTGGGAGGGGCGGCGCTTGGTGACGGATACAGCTTCTTCGCTGTCGCCTTTGAGCGAGGGCGACTTGGCGAGGTCGTCGTAGGAGAAGTAGTCGGGCGAGGGGCCGTCTTCCTTTATTCGATCCAGCGAGTAGAGGAGGGGCTCTTCGAAGAGGGTGGCGTCGGTGGAGAGGCCCAGGGCATCGGCTGGATCAATCGCTCTTGTGCGCGGGCTGGCGCGGGGACTGGCAAACTTCAGGCCGTTGACTTCCGGTGGCATGACCCAGTGCTGGACGCCTTGTTGTTGTCGCATTTCGTGCTTGAGCTTGCCCTCGAGGGCGCTTTCCGTGTCGCTCGCCATTGAGAAGCGCCGGGAAGGGGATCGTGAAGGAGTGCCGGGCTGTTGTTGAGTGTCGTACCCCGCATTGCGCAGGGCGTTGAGGATGGAGCTGTCCCCGCGGTCGAGGTAGAGGAGGCCGGTTCTCCACATGGTCGTGGTCGTCGATGAGGGTTCCTGCTGTGTACGAGTAGCCGACGCAACAGTCACCCTCTACAGTCTTGTCGGAGGCGGACAGGGAGGCGCGATGTGCCGCTGCTCTAGCTTTAGTACTTGTTGACAGCATGCGGGTGATCGAGCTGGCCGGCGCTAGCACCCGCTTCACCGCCATTTTTCTCAATTTGGCCCTCCGGTTGAAAAGTCTGTCGCTGCCGTGCCTCTTGCCTCGACTGGGTCTAATGCCTGCATCACGATGCAGCAAGCCTTTTTTCACGTCGTATCGCCCAATCACGCTCACCGTGTCATCGACTTTCGTTGGGCGCTGATTTGCTGTGCAGCCTCAAACATTCCTACACCCTGTACCTGCATCCGATCAGCAGGTTGGAGTGTAGCGTACGTACCCCCAACCATCCCGTATCATCCCGGCAACGGACGAAAGCGTCGAGATCGTGTCCTGCGGCTGGCGTGATCGCGAAGCATTCGACGGCATGACGTGGTAGTGGAGTCGGCATGCTAGCTCCAGTCCCGCAAGGCTGAATATATATCTCCAGAGCGTGGCATGGCCATGATAGCCGCGGGTGGCATGCACGTTTTGCTGCACTGCCTGCAGCTGCCAGCGCAAAGGGTACTGTCGGCCGTCGGAGTGTGTTCGGACATGTTGAGGTTCAACAGAAGGGGGGCGGGGTAAATCGCGACGCTAACATCACGTTTGATCAACATTTCATGTTTCAAGGCGGATATCGGAGTGGAGAGAAGACCACCGAAGTCAGCAGAAGGTCCAGTCACGCGTGCAGTGAGGGAGGCATGAGGGTGTCGTCGCAGCGCATGTGCAGCCCGTGTGATAAGAAGACGTTGTCTACTATCCAACCTCCCACCACATGGGGGCTACATCCTGCACATGGGCAGAGCAGCTGGTGAACGGTACCAAGATTTTCAGTGCAGTGTGCCAAAATCTGCTGGTGTAGTCTGCTGGGTAGTCTGCTGGTGTGGTGGAGTCCAATCACTACTGGCGGGCCTCGCGCGATAAGACGACACCACACCAACACTGTTCTCGGCCCTGGCTAGTGTACCTAACATAAACCTTCTGGATTGTCTTCTGGCCTGTCCTGTTCGTCTCACAGGACTCGACCCCGCAGTGACACAGCTTCGGTTCGCTCGCTTCATGGCCAGCAGTTCGACACCCTGGCTCTCCCACCGTGAGGGTGCCACTATGAGGATGCCGCTATGAGGGTGCTGACAGCGCGCTCTGCACCAGCGATCAAAACACGTCCCTCTCCACTCCACCAATGCACGCGAACCCACCTCCCCACGCCCTCACCGAATCGCATGGTGACGCGTGCCATGCGTGGAGCTCACTTACCCTACGTGGAGTCTCGTTTGGTGACAGGCACACCGCTCGGCGATACTACGACTCCGCTTCTCACGCGTGACGTGTTGTTTATGCGCGTCGAGTGGGCAACAACACAGCGCTTCTTCTTCACTCCTCGCAATCACCACAACACATAAGCAGCAGACGTCTGCGAGAAGAGCGTCTAGAGGGCGTCTGGGTCAAACCGACTTTGATGTCATTCCCATGGTTTGGGAGGGCGTTGTGCAGCGTGGTAGCATGCAGCGTCAACGGCCCGCACCCGCTAGCGAGCCATGTTTTCTTGGCGTAAACAAACCTGGACCGCCGAGGAGCGCCCTCCGCAGCCGAATTATTATGAGGCCATTGGCACGTCGTAGATACTTTGCAACCGTGTTCACAAACCCAATTGCCCTCTGCACAAAGCAAAAATTGATCTCCGCCGTACCCCACCTACACCGCCCCGCCGCCGTTCGCTCCATCTCGAGTCAGTGGAGCTGATGTTTTCTTGCACTGCCTCGCCCGACGACCTCCGCCGGTAGCAATTTCAGCTTCAATCTCCCCACGCAACGATCCCATAACACCTGCACTCGTCGCCCTCGCGGGCCTACCCAACCATGGACGACGGTCCTCCACCTCCGCCGCCTCCGCATGGCGCCAATCCAAAGACCACAGGCGGCAGCCATGCACCTCCCGACCCAGGTCCAAGCGGCGGTCTGCCACCGGGCAACTACGACATCTTCATCATACCGCCGCACTCTTCAGGAGGCGGCTTCATATACCTTCCTAGCATGGGTGTGCAGCAGAACAGCTTCATTGCGGGTGTGCTCAGCACCATCGCGAGCATAGTGCTGTGGAAGGCCGCTGAGCCTTATATGAAGCAATATTTTCTTATAGTCCGACATGGAGTGACGACTGGCGGCAATGGCGTCATACTGCTGGCGGTCTTGATGTTGGTCGCCGGATGGGGCAGTTGGTCAGACGCAAGCAGGGGGTCGCTTTAGCAGTGGCGGAGGCTACAATGGTCGCGGTGGAGGGGAGGGAGCTGGAGCTGGCACACACACACCAGGAGGAAGCTCAAGCTATCAACGAGCGCCTCCACCACCCCTCCAAACGGCGGCTTCCCTGGCAGTCCTCCACCTCACGGCGGATGGGGTGGATACCGCCAGTACGGGGCTGGCTCGCCGCCGCCTCCACCGCAAGACGACGAATCTTCCTTCGACGAAGAAGCTGAGCGGGCCGAAGAGGAGCAGAAACAAGCAGAGGAGAAGGAAAAGCGGCGGCGGAAAGAGAAGAGGAGGAAAAGAAACGGAAAGAGGACGAGGAACGCAAGAAAGCTGAGGAAGCCAAGAAGAAGCAGAAGGAGAGGAGAAGAGAAGAAGAAGCCGAACGCAAGCGCGTTGAAGAGGCAGAGAAGAAGAGAAAAGAAACAGGAAGAGGAGCTTAGGAGGAAACAGAAGAGGATCTCAAGAAGAAGCTCAAAAGAGCTCAAGGAGGCTGAGGAGGCGGAGGCTAAGCGGAAAGAGGAAGAGGAAGAACGCAGGCGTGCTGAAGAAGCCAAGCTGAAAGGCCAAGGCCGAGCGAAGAAGCCCGAAAAGAAGAAGAAGCTCGACAGCAGCGCGAAGCTGAAGAGCAGGGCTGGCCGAGGAAGAGAGAAAGAAGCGTGAAGCTGAGGCACAGAGACTGGCTGAAGAGGGAGAAGAAACGGACGGCAAGAGGAAGCTGAGCGCCAACGCATCGCCGAAGAGGAACGCAAGGCCGAAGAAGAAGAGCGCAAACTCGCCGAAGAGGCTCGGATACGTGCTGAAGAGGAAAAAGAAGAAGAAGGACGAAGAGGACCGCAGACGAGCCTGGGAAGAGCTTAAGCGCGGGAAGAGGCCAGACAGAAGAAGGGAGGCTGAAGAAAAGGCCAAAGCGCAGAGGCAGCCAAAACTCGCCCAAAGCCGAAGAGAGAAGGAGAAGTGGGAGCAGATGCGGAAGCGTGAGCGTGAGCAACGCGAACGTGAAGCCCGCGAGCGCCTCGCCAAAGAGAGAAAGCCCGCAAGGCACAAGAAGCCATTGAGAAGGAAAAAGGCCGAACGAGAGGCGCGAGGCCGCGCGGCGAAGTACGCGCCGCAGTCGAGAAGGAGAGGACGAGAAGCTCGAAGCGAACAACGCGCCAAAGCCGCTGAGGAGGTGCCAAAAAGGCTGAAGCAGAGAAGATTGCAGCCGAAGAGCAGCCGCCAAAGCGAAGGCGAGAGAGCAGAGCAGAAGCTGCTCTTGCCAAAGCAAAGACAGATGCTGAGCGTGCCGAACGCCTCAAAGCAGCTCGTGAGCGAGCTCAAAAGGATCGCGAAGCCCGCGAGGCAAAAACTCAAAGCAGAAGCCGAACGCATCAAGGCCGAAGCTGCCGCCGCTGCAGCCACAGCAGCACTGCCGGACCTCACAGCCCGCCGCTCAACTACGTATGGCAATGTTGGTGGAGGTGAAAGACTGGATCCATATGCTGGAGCAAGAAGCACACCACCGCCGCATCCGTCACCTCAACCCACTCTCCCCCATCAAAGCCACCGTCACACCCAAGAAACCCTACGAACGCCCCACGGCCGCATCGTATCTCGGCTCGAATCCGACGCCGCATCTTTCGCTCCGCCCGAACTGCCACAGGACTGCCCGTTCCACAGCCACACGCTCGAATTCTCTTCCGCGTACTCCGAGTTTCGTACGCGCCTAGCCAGTCTACAACAAGGACGAGTCCGCCTGCGTCGAGAAGTGGACCGTATGCAAAGCCGACCCGAACAAGATTGTTATCAAAGCGGGGTTATATTTGTTCAATGATCTTTTTCCTAAGCCGGTTTGCGCAGTTGGTGAGCAATGTGGGCAAAGTAACAGACGGCTTGATTCTCAAGATACAGTCTGAGGGTTTTTCATCGATGATGATGTTAGGGGGATTCCGCAGCGCGAGTGGGATGTCAAGGCTTGGACGCTGAAGATGGTTGAGGTAGGTCATTCCCATACAACATCCTTGATCTCATGCTAAACAGATACGACAGACGGGGCAAACAACCCACCAAAAAACCTGCACATTCTCCGCGCTCGGCCGCGACGCTGACGGCAAGAAATACGTTTTCTTGATTGACGAAACCGAAAGTTG